CATATGCTGCTTTAGTTATAAATAAATGTTTAGCTCTTATGAATCCATCAATTATGTTCTTGAAATGTGCACCATTAAGTTAATTAACAATTAATGACGGCTCATCAAATTCAAAATATTTAAATATGCATTTACTCAAGGCAAATGAACCCTTAATCAGTATTTGCACACTTCTATATCAATTCAAGTGTATTTAACACATAACAAACCGTAGATCATGAATAAATCCCATAATAACGCCATATCAAAAACATTTACAAGAACAGATAACCAGGAGATACGTACGAAGTGCCCATTTAGTGACGAGTGTTAATAGCACGTTTGAAACTAAAAGTGGGGCAACCCTTAAAACATCCGTAAGCCTCAACATGTAGCACACAATGCAACAATAAGAAAAATGGAATACAATGAAAACATTTTCATAAATAAAAAGTATTGACCGAGAGCCCAAACCCTACATATGTCCACAGCATATGCCATCCATAGACAGGCTATAAAATTATTAAATATAAATTTAAATCTTATTTACAACAAATTTTTAGAATTAATCACTTTAATATAATATTATAGGTAGAGCTGATGTTTTTAAATTGATAATTACGACTTTCAACTGCAACCACACAGTCTGGGAGAGAGGTCTCTAAAGTACTTTACGGATAATGATTTTAATATTATTTGTAATGCAAGATATTCAAAAATCCACTTAGAAGCGTTTAACTCAACGCTGTAAACTCTGCATGGGTAGCGGGGTTGACACAAGCGTCCCAAAAGGGTTGAAACTTGTTTGTTGACAAGAAGAAAGGAAGGAGTCAAAACAGTAAAAAGGATTTTGAAGTATTTTATATTTTAGCTATTTTTCTGGAAAATTTGTGTAGTCTATGGACGTTTTTAATTTACACAAAAGCCAAAGCAAAGACTTGAATTGCAAGCAAACCGGAAACGGAAGAGTGGTTCAAAACACAGTCGACTATGCTGACTACAATGGCAACAATGGCCACAAAAATAACGCGAACGACGTTGGCCAGCAGGCAAACGACAGCTTCTTTATCTGAAAAAATGACTGCAAAAGAAAACGAAACTGAAGTTACAACTGCGCCATTGTCTCGTATTGTCCTTTCGTGCGTTCATGATTCTAAAATACTGGAGAGTGTGGGGCAAAGGTTAAATTAAATACCCTTTGGGATGGCTTCAAGTGTGTTTTTGGTACACTTAAAAGCTTTAATCAATTACTTAATTGATTTACAGTGCCACAATTACAGGGGCAGTGTACACTGTTGCTTTTGCGTAGGCGTGACACAGACTTCAAATTTGTGTTTAGACAGCCCGTCCTCTTTCTGACAAGTACAAGCCTTTATTTTTCATGCTAATTTTTTTTTTTACTTGAATGTTCCACAAACTTTTTTATTTCCCTGCTATGACTTCTATGCACTTCATCCATTTAAGCGCTTTACGACAGTGTTCGTGCAAGTGATATGAAGATAATAAACTAGGATTCATTCAAATGGAATGTGACAAAATAAAAGTTCTCATTTGTTAGATTTTAATAAGGATTAAGTAAAGTGTTTATTACAGCTTTGCTTAGCTTTTTATTGCGGTTAATTGACCATAATTGGGTATTATTTACTTTCCCTTGTCTCTATAATTTTTATTGAAAGTGTATGAGACACTTTGGATAAAGTAATTAATTATTACTTCGGAATTTAGTGAGGTTTAGTATAAAAATGAATTAAAAATTTTATAAAAAAATTAAAATTTATTAACAAAAGATATAGGATACATTATTATAGAAAAGAGATAATACACTGCAACCTAAAAAATCTATTGTACCCCTTAGTCGAATTACAGTGTTTCTCCAAGTCCGAAAATATAGAACCTACCTTTCCTAGTCTTGAATCCTTATGTTCCATGAAATACCCTACAATGTGTTTCTTCCGCTTGTGCATCAGTGTCGGGTACTCCACTAGCACATGGTATGCGGTTGCACTTTCTTCTCTACAGTATCTGCAGTCTGAATTGGATTGAATTTCTGACTGTGTTAGGTGATTATTCTATCTACAGTGACCGGTTAATAATCCCGTAATAATTCTTAGGTTATTCTTCGTTTGTTCTATGCAAACCTTGAAACGGTTGTAAGTTTCAATCTAAAGCATTTTAGATTGTGATAGATTTGATAGCTTTTGCCAATATAGTTATCTTTTTTTCCTCTATTTAAAAAAATGGATAGAGTTCCTTTGCCTGGACCGCAGAAAGATTCTGGGCCAATCATGATTAAAGTAGAAAAAAAATAACAAGTATTTATTTATTGAAAACAAGAATTTGATTATGCTATTTAAGCATTAATCTCTTTATTACCAATGATCAGCAGTCACTCTGGTCATTGTGATTGAATTTTAAATTAAAATAATTTTCAAGAAAATAAATAAATAATAATAATAAATAAATAATAATAATAAATAATAGTAATATATTTTAATAATAAAAATATTAATTAATCAACATTTCTTTTTTCAAATCATTTGTTTTAGCGTTAATTATTTATAAGTACTTATACCATCATAGATTCTTATAAGTTCATTTAACATTTTTTTTAACTAACACGTATTCTAGAAATGTATTCATTCAATAAAAATACATAGATTTTATGTAATAATAATAATAATAAGAATGAACGTGGTACTAGCTCCCAGTTGAACAGAGCACTGCGATCATGATTGATCTTTTGTGCTACAACAGACCCTAACCAAACAGAAGACATTCCGCCTTCCGAATGAAGGCTAAAATGTCGGACTTTGAGGACCTCCTAATGTCGGAAGGTGAGAGCAGTTCCCGACCCAGTGACCTTCTCCTGTCCCAGATCAAGGCTGGGCAGTCACATAGAATGTGACTGGATGCCTCCTCTGCTTCTAAGCAGAGTGTACATTCTTTCTCTTCGGACAGACCCATTTTGTTGAGGTGGTAATGTAGTTCATGGTGACCCGTTAGATATCCACCAGCAAGATGATTAAAGATGATTAAATATAATTACTAAATATTATTAAGATACTTAGATATTAAAATACTATAATAGTAGTTTTTTCTTTCACACATTGTAATAAAAACATCTTGTATTAAACGGGGGATGTGAGGTCCAATTAATAATTTGGGTACTTCTACATATTTTTAAATAGTTTCAATAACAGGGTTTACTTACCACTTACCTTATAATAGACTGTAGATACTTTAATATATGCGGTTTAGGAAATCAATATGCTGCAAATCACTTTTATTTAAGAATGAAAAATTCTGTGAAAATAGAAAATTAATATTATTTTTAATCAATTAATTTTTAAAGTCAATTATGATAAAATAAATTTTTTTTCAATATAAACTATTTTGTTAATAGATAGGATTAATATATATATTAAGTTTTTCATTATAACTATTAACATAATACTTACAATAATAAAAGAAATGTAACTAATTTCCTACTTCGAAATCAAAAGAACTTATAAAGTTTGGATAAGCAAAAACTAAATCATAAAAAAAATTTTTTTTATCAGACATAACCCTCATACATAACCCCTTTCCTTGCCAGTTTTCGGATACGGAAATACAAAACAGCCAAACTCAATAAATAAACAGAAATATGTCCGGATAACCTTTTCAATTTCCAAAGACAAAGTTACCACTTCGAGGAAGGTGTTTCGATCCATTTTCGCTTACATCAAAGTCTGTGTATAGTTGAAGGAAATATATTTTCGTTTTTCATTCGTTCGATTCGTAATTGATTGGTTATATTTGTTTGACTTATTTTATAAATTCGTATACTTTGTACACAGAGTTTAATTTATATATTGTCATGCTTAAAAAGTTAAAATTAGGTTAAAATATATTTTAAGACATCATCTAGAAAGTGTGGTTCACTTAAATTGATCATAGAGCACAGAACCGATACAAGGCAAAATCTAAGGGTGAAAGAGTTTTATGTCTGTACATATACAACAATAGTTCAATTAAAGTATAAGATCGTTCTCTCAAAAAGCTTTGATTAAATCAGATATATAACAATCATGTTAACCAATCGAACAAGACACTACAAAGAAAATAAAACTAAAATTAGTGAGTGATATCCTCACTGGAATCAGCTAACACTGCATTCTTATACAAGTTGGAGTTTAAGTAGAAATAATGCTTTCAGGGTTTTATTTATTTAGCGGTACTTAGCATAAAACGGCTTTTACATAATTTTGACCTACATTTTTGACTTATTTTTCTATGATATGGTGACTTCGACACTATATCAAGTTGAAAACATTCACTCCACATTTATTATCCCAAAATAGAATTTTCCTGAATTGTTTAAAATTGCGTCTCTATAAGGAAAATTGATTTTTAAATTTCCTTTAGAAATATTTATAATTTGTATTAATAATCAAATAGGAAACAATTAATCAAACTTTAACTGTTTTATCTTAAAGAGAAAGAAAGAATGATATTTGAATTTATATTAAAACCTTGTAAGCTTGGCTTACACGAGAAATCCTATTTTAAACTTCAACAAACGAACAGGTACGCAACGCCCGCATGAGTGTCAAGAGTTAGTGCCAGACAAAGTGCTAAGATGACATTGATCAATGATATTAAACGATGGTAAAGTAATACAGACGAAAGTCATGAATGAGTTCGATATCAATGAACTGATTCAATGCTTTAAAGGGGAGTGGTCGAAATCACAGCTTTTAGAAGGTTATTTTAAACTTCATTCACAAAATAAAAACTTAAAATATGTTTTCATCTGTTATAATATATTGTAATTAATTGACATACTAATTGGGCAAGATAAATCAATGACAATTAAAATGTCTGATATAAGAATAAACACACATATTATAACTCCAATTCTTACATTTGTATAAATCATTTTATATTTTATTTTATATTTGTATAAATTATTTTAATTGCTAATCTTTTATTAATCTCAAAAAAAAATTAATTTATTATTATTTTTTTATTCATTTTAGCTTGAAAGTTTTACCTTACGGCATAATAATACCTAAGTCCACGTCTCCCTTGGTCATCCCAGCGCCTTACATGAGCAGTTTTAACTTCATGCTTTTTACAAAATGATGGATCGCATCCCATCATTGTCACTCTCAGGCATATCGCTCGCACATCCACTTTCAATTTCAACTGGACAAACTTTACAAAATCATCTCAATTCCGCACAATCGGCGGTTAGTTCTTCAACTGGCGGACATTTAGGACAATTAGCAGCTGCAGTACATCATCATCATCAACAACAGCAACAACAACAAATACAATTACAACAGCAACAACAACAGCAGCAACAACTGCATCATCAGCAACAACAACAACACCACCATCATAACGCAGTAGCGTCAGTTGCTCATCATCATAATCAACACCATCACAATCATCAATTGTCTCTCAATTCCTTAAGCAGCTTACATTCAAGTTCAACTTCAACACCAAACTCTTTAGCGCATTCGAGCGCCTCACCAACAAGTTCAACAACATTGCATCACCATCAAGGCTTGCACACAACAACAAATCACAATATACTACATCACACCACAAGTGGTCTGGCGCATACGGCACACTTACACGCGGGTGTCGCACATAATTCGTCGTCCTCATCACATCAGCACTCAACAACAGCGTCCACTTCTGCGGCAGCCACGTTACATCCAACGGCGGGTGCACATCACCACCATCATCATCACAACCATCATCACCACCTGTCTTCGGCATCGGCAGCTACCAATAACGCAACTACTGGTTTCTCCTCAAGCTCATCAACAAACTCCCCCGCCTCCGTCATGGCTGCAGCAGCTGCCGCGCATTTGCATCATAATTCACAGGCTTCTCCAATGACAAATTTACACCAGAACATGGGAAGCCTGATGAATACAGGCAGCAGTGCCAGGTAATTATATTCCGCACCGCACAATGCAAACGCACCGGTGTATTGTGTATTGTCTATTGTCGATTCTCGATTGTCGATTTCGCAAGCATATAGAATTTTGAATGTTAATTGGAAATTGGAAACTTCTAACGCCATACAATGGCGGATTTAGTTGCCGGTTACGAAGAATTGTGAGTCGGAAATTCTAGCCCCAAAACTCATAATGCTCGAGACTGTGTATGCATTCCGGTTGTCATCGTTCTAATTAACATTATGCAAATTTGCACTACTCGCATTGTGCGTATAGTTTTGTCGGTGTGCGGCGGAGCTTGCATTTAGGCAATCATTGAATTAAGTCCTTTTTGACTCAAATAATGAATTATAATTCTCGATCTGTTTTTATTTCAGTGATGTTTTTTTCAGTCTCATGATACAGAATACAACGAAACGACAAAACGAAGAACACATTAAACGTCCCATGAATGCGTTTATGGTGTGGTCCAGACTACAACGCAGAAAAATTGCGCAGGATAATCCCAAAATGCATAACTCCGAAATATCGAAACGCTTAGGTAAGTGGGAATGCAATGAATGTAATTTTTTTATTATTAATTTCTGACTGACATATGTGCTTCACAAAACCAATCAATAACAAACAATACTCAAAAGAAAGGACATAACAAAAGCTGCATTAAACTTTTTTAACAAATGAACACAAACGAAATGGGGCCAGCAAAATAATACGAAAAGGATAAAAAATTAAAGAATCAAAAAAAAAATTATGGGAATGTACACAAGTCCAACTGTTTGGAAACAATTGCAAGGGTGCAAAAAACTTCACAATGTGCACCAGCAAACAATGCCCGCGGCTCACTCACATAAAAATAACTTTTTTTTGAATTCCCAACAATGAAAAGTGAAATAAGTGAGGTTATGAATATGAATTGTGGAGTGTCTCATCGTTTAGCGATTTGAACTCAGTGAACTTTAGTATTTTTAGTCTTCGAGTTTCATCGTCTGGGTTGGGGGAAAAGTTATTACAAGTGCTCACTTCAGTCTAATGGTTTTTGACCTATCAACATGAGAAGTAACTTCAGTGCATGAAAGGACCTTTGAATATGTTATTTGGACAACAGTGCGCTGATGTGAACATGGGTATTAGCTTATGATGAACATAAAGCAAAACTCTATTAGAGGAGTTTGTAAAAAAGTGCGAGTGTATATTTTTTTAAAGTAATCAATGTATTGTTTTGCTGTCCTCCAAAAAAAAAATTTAAAGGAAAAATTTATTTTCCTATAAATTAACAGAGGTCAGCTATTAAATACTTCAAATTGTTTTGAAATTAAGTAAATTTTGGAATGCATTTGTCTGAGTGTTCCTCTTAATTTGATAAAAAAATGTATATTGCACTTATGGATACGTTTCTGTGATGGTTGAAAACTCAACGATGGAAAACTTATTCTAATTAATAAACTGCCATTGAATTAAAAACGGGGTCTTTAACTATATCCGGTTTTTCGTGACAAAGACAACTTTCTGAAGCATCTAAACAATTGTAATGTAGTCCACTTAATTAAGAAAGGCTAATTAAATTACATTACACAATAAATATTTTTTATTTTTATTAATTATTTTAATGACCAAATTGGTCAAAGTTAAGTAAACCAGAACTTTTTAAATTAGTTTTAAAAAACTATCTGTTTGTTAACTATCTTTCGACAATGATCGTCTTCAGTAGACTATAACGCTAGTTTGCAAATAATTAAAAATGTTATTTTCAAAGACGAGATCTACATTTTCTATAGTGAAATTATTCGTAGAACTTGAAAATCATAATGATTTTTTTCCTTATATGCCCTTCTACCGTTATTGGCGAAAAATCGTCATTTTAATTATTTACAAAACATAACCCTGCATATTTCCCCATAATTTTTTTTGGCGATGTTACTACTTATAGTATTGTATATAAGATTAAAGCTGCAACTTGTACAAATATGTACTATACATAACGTCAATGTGACTTAATTAGTTGAACTGCTATACTATAAAATGTAGGTATAGATGAAAAAATTATGTGTGTACAGAATATGCCGTATAAATTACATATATTTTTGTACTTTATAAAGGTACTTAGAAGAACTACATGGAGAGTCCTTCATTTTCTCCACATAATTTTGGCGAATTAAACTTTTCAATTGATTTTCATTGTCAAAACATTGGTATAAGATATTTAAACTATATTGTATAGTAACTTTCAGGATACCATTTTAAAAAAAATAGATAAAACTCTTCTCCTTTAATAATATCAATAACGACTGTTACTCTAATAGCTAATTGGTTAGCTTAACGCCTGTTACTGTAAGAGCTAATTGGTTAGCTTAAAAAACAACTTGGATTCAATATTGATACTCTGGCAAATATTCCGAAAGCAAAATATTTTATTTGAAAACTAATTTTACTGATCTGAAAAAGAAATTCTGGAAAAAATTAAGTCTTGCTATGATTTTAAATTTTCAATATGGCCGCTTGAAGCAAAACCTGTAACTTTAACTCGATCGACAAATAAATACAAAGCTGCACAAATATAAATCTGCAGAATCTTTATTCATTAACCAAGAAGTGAGCAAATCTACTAATTTATTTAGTGCAATTTTCCCTATACCGAAGAAATGACGTGGTTTACATTAGGTTACCACGTATGATACTATGCGATCGAAATGAATTCAGATCATTGTCTCTGTGTTATTATTGGTTAGATTGTATTTTGGTTGACGATACAGACCCTTGGGGAAATATCAATTCACTTATATTAAAATTTTTAGTACCTTACGGGTTCAAAATATAATCCAAAACTTTTTCGTAACAACTAACAACAATCACGACATTTCAAAATCATCACAATTGGCATTAAGTTACTTTTTATAACCATTAAAATGTTAAACCTAAAAAATTATAAATTGAAATAAAAATATTAGAACATGAATGAGTTTTGAAGATGGATTGATTTCTTAACATTTTGCGATTTGACTCCCAATCTCAGTTTTATAACTTAGAATTGTAAGAAATATCTCTGGAGTATTAAAATATATCCATGTATTTTAGATATTTATAATGTACTTGCATTGATTTTAGTAAATGGGAGATAGGTATATTGGTAGTATAAATGGGTTCGGGGATTGTTTTTTTTTTTTTGAGGTTTACATATATTAAAAGAAGTCTACGAAAACTTGTTAAGTGCTTCTTAGTTGTAGAATATAGCACGCTTTAAGGAGCTGAAGTACATATACTGTGATATTAACATTTAAGGGTGCTAAATGGATAATTTACTTAAAAATCATAATAGTAATGGCGTAAAAATATGAATAATATATAGTTATTGTCAGTCATCCTATACATACAAAATTATTCTTTGCAATCGTTCTACAAGTTTACGACTGTATATTTAAAAAAAAAAACCTAGGAGAAATAAAACACAAAATGATTGGAAATATAAATATATTTCATAATCGCGATTCATTATGTGATACGAATCTTTCACAGTTTCATTAATTTTAAATAAAATTCTGATCTAACTTAAGATCATACGCCTATCCGTAAACTATATAGCAATCAATTATGAGGCTGAATAGCACTGCGTAAGATGTTCTATTTCTACTATTGTAGATCAGTAATAGTAGAAAGAGAAGCACAAAATTAAAGAACAAGAATGAACTTCCTGTAAGAACAACAATTTAATGTAAAAACTTTTGTATATATAATCCTAAGCAATTATCCACCTACAACAATATTCACATAATCAGTTATGTTTCACATATTTAGGAATAATCAAAGAACTTATTCAGTTTTTTTTAAGATTAATTATTTGAAAATATCATTTCTCCAAAATTATATAAATAAGATGTAATATATAGGTCGATATATAAGATAGAGTCCAAGGTACATAAAACTTTTTAAAATCGATATTCATAAACCATCTATTGACATATCATCAAAGTTTTCTGAATAGTCCTTGGACGAATAGAAACGGAATTACTAAATCAATCTGAAATTTGCAGACAAAACAAGGTTTTGGGCAAGGTTTTTGCTAAGATTTTATAAAAATAAAATAAAATTATCGCTAGGAATAGAAAATTTATTTATTTTGAAACGCACATAAATTTTTCATTTGTGTTATTCTGATGTTTTCTCCCTTAAAAACAATTGAGCTATTTTAAAGTCTATAACATGATTAATTCCATAATAATTATATTATATTTATTTCAAAAGTTTTTATTGTTTTTCCACAATATTATGATATATGTATACACCTGATGCGACGATTATGTATTTGTGAAATAAAATTAAATTCTCAAAAGTAAAACCACAGATATCGAAGTGATTAAGTACTTCTTAATTTCGAATGCCGTGCTATCTGTGTTATGACAGTCTGCATGTAAAACGCCCTAAAAATGTCAAACACAAAAGCACTTCCTTCGACATAAGAAGTCCTTCATTCAAATGAAAATACTCGAAGCTGAAGAAACCTGCCAGCTCTTGTCTCTTGCCTCTTGCACTCCTAAAGAATATGAAAATCAATATTTAAGATTTGGCTCCATTGTTATGCTAAAAAGTGTAAATTTATACTAAAACTTCGTAGCCAGTGAGTAACTAATATGGGAAAACACATTTTCAGCAGTCAGTGGCACGTGTCTAGTGGGCCACGTAACAATTGATGTGTGTGATTGAAAGTGAATTGAATTAAAATGAATCTGAGCAAAGCACTGAGCAGGGACACGCGTCGTTTTGTTTTGTTTTGTTTTGTTTGCTGTTCTGAATTAGATTTTCGCAGGGATTAGCTAAATATAACTACTTTACTTTGCAACTAGTTAACTCCTCTTTATGTCGCGCAAAGACCAAGGATAAAGGCAGACGCAATAATGCAAGAAACTCTATTAGGCATGATTTTACAAAAATTTTCGCCAAGTTACGAATCAAGCAACCCTTCCCCCTATCTGAGGTTGCCCATTTTTAATTGCAAGTAGCAAGTACCTTAACGATTTAAGTGTTTGTCTGTTTGTTCGTCTGTTGCAATGAGCTTGTGTCATTGTTTGACAGCTCTTGTCAGTTTTGACGTTTACGAAGCGGTGACAACAGCGACAACAGCGCCGGTGACGCTGCAGCTCTTTGATTACGCTTAGTTGGATTACGTATTCGGAGCTTATGAATGTCACTTGGTTTGGATTTAACTCGATTATGTTAAATCATTCCATTGCGGACGATTTTTATCAGATGAGGAAGTTTAATGTTTTGCCGGGAGTGTGCCAATGATTTTGGTTATTTTTGAGGGAATTTTAATTAAGTGACGGAAGTGTTCTCAAGTAACTCAGATATAAGGCATCAGTTATCTAGTAAAAGGATTTTTATATATCAAATTTTAAACTTAAAAGCTAATAAAAACTATCTTCTAATAAAATATTTAAAATAAATAAGCATTTGAATATGTTGTATTAAATTATTTCACTACTGTAGAATATAAGTAATAGTTTGTTAGTCAATATAAGTTAATATTCAATCAAATTATTTACAAAAGTT